GTGTGTGTGTGTGTGTGTGTGAGCAAGAGAGAGATGAGTGTCCTCTACAGGGTCTAGTCACACCACAATATCCTTCCTCTAGTCCTTCAGCCTGCTGTATCCCGGGCACTCATGCATATGCCTAATGTGTTTCAGGTTAACAGTGCCGGGAATCTGAATCACGGTTACCATGTGGGATCTGTTTCTCTTCGGTTGTACATCACCATTGTGCCATAGATCCAACATGGCTGACCACATGGTTTGAATCCTGGCCTGAACATGATAAGCACACAAGGCATGTGTGAACACATGCGTGCCCCAAATCTAGACAAGATAAAAAAATGAAGAAGAGATTACAGCATAACTTCACCTCATTAGGGGTTCTTTCTCTCTTTGTGTGTCCTTCTGTCTCTCTCTAGCAAGCATATGTGTCCTCTGGCAATTTAAAAAAAAAAAGAGAGAGAACCCAGAGAACCGCTTTACCCCTTTGCCATGTGGGGAAACAGTGAAAAGTCTCCACTTATGAACCAGAGAGAGGATCCTTACCAGACACTGAATTGGCAAGTGTCTTGATCTTAGACTTTCCAGATTCTAGAACTGTGAGAAATAAATCTCTGTTGTTTATAAGCCACCAGCCTATGGTATTTTTGTTATAGTAGCCTGAACAGATTAAGACTCTGGGATGGTTATAATGTGTGGTCAACTTATTGGTTCCAACACAAGGGCTCACTTGCTGTGAGACCTTGGTTGAACAAATTACTTAACCTCTCCGAACTGTGGTTTTTGCAGCTGTGAAGAAGAGTGGGCAGTTAGCCTCTGACTGTGGTGGAAGATACTGACCAGTATCAGATGTGGCTGAGCCAGGTGTGACTGAACACTAGTGTATGTATTAGAGTCACAGAATAATGTGAAAATCGAGTGTAAACAAATTATCCTAAAGAACTCCTTAGAGAAGCCTTAATTCACTGACATGCAGGCCCTTCCTTGGAAGTTCAAAAGTCAGGCACAAAGCATTTACTTCTTTGGTTTCTCTTTAGATTTCTACCATGGTTTTCCTTTCTGCAGGGCAACATAGGACAACATTGGCTTGAAGGGCAGGTTAGTAAAACAAAAAACAGGGATTTCCCACTCCTCTGAGTTCTCCTTTTTGTTGAGAATTTCTATATTAAATATACCTTTACATTGACTCTAACATTTATGATAGCATCAAAATGATAACAATATTGGGGGGAAAAAAGTAAGTTACTATTCATCTTTGGAATAGGTGTTTTCTCCAGATTATTCTGAGTCTATAAGGTCTTTGTAGCTAATGTCAATGTTAAAGAAAGTGACCAATTAAACCCATTTGATCAAAACAGGGGGATGCTTATTGCTTACTAAACAGGAAAATGCTTGATTACATGTTGAGATATTAAGTAGAGAAAGCTGAACTCTACATTAGATATTACTATTATAAATAGCAATTTTATAATTATGCAGTACTTTGTAGTTTACAAATAAATTTTTTTTAAATTAACCTTACTTTAGAGATAAGGCTTAACTTCTCAAGATCATCTGGCTAATTTAACAGAATAGTCGGGATTCATAACTACACTTTCTGAGTTCAAATCCATCAGACTTCCCAGAAGACCAGAATCTATCTCTCTTCTGCTCTTTCACTTTGAGAGTCATGGGGATAGAAAGAAATAGGTTTGAGGATTTGTGATCTGGCTCTTCC